GTGAGCATTCTCTGCAGGATCTATATAAACCACTTCTTACAGGCTTGGAACAAACCCAACACTTGGTGAGTGGATTCTCATTGCTTAGATACAATCCCTGCCCTGTTCTACTTAATTATGTCCACAGGGCTCTATGAATTCCTCCCACCTCACCATCCTCCACCTCTCCTCAGGGCAGCCCTGTTCCTGCCCTGCTCCCAACTGTCAGGGCGCCCACCAGGCTGCTTGGAAGGAACTCCAGGAACCAGGGGATTATGCAAATCTCCAGATTCTGGAGAGCAGTGTTTACCCAGGGCTGCTCCTTGCAGTCAGCTCTTAGCAGCTAGGCCTAGCTGCTGCCTTCCCAGAAGCTTCTTTCGCTGTCATCGCAGCCTCTAGTGGACAATAGTGGCTCACGGTCCTTTCTCTGCTCCAGCTCTCATCTAGGGAACTCCTGACATCCAGAGGGGAGCAGGGAGGACAGGTCTGCAGGTCTGGGGTCTTTCTCAGGGAAGAGCATGCACATCTGCCTCCCTTGCCCTCCCACTTGCTCCTCTTTTTCCCTCTATCCAGTTCTCAGAGGAAAGCTTCTTCAGGATTGTCACTACCCTACTGCAGGACTCTCTCCTGGCTGCTGGTATCTGTCACATCCCTTCAGGGCCAGATTGAATGCTACCTGCTCTGGGGTGAGCAACAAACCCACCCACTTTGGCGTCCACAAGCTCTATGTCTTTCCACTGCCAAGGTACTTAGCACACAGCCCGGACTCCAGTGCTTTGGACTTGAAGAGATCTCTTGCTGGGCTGCAGATACCAGGGCTGGGGCCTCAGCACCTAGCACAGGGTCTACTGCATGCAGAGTGCTATGGACCAAAAATCTGGATCTCCCCAAGATTTATAGCATGAAGCCCTAATTCCCAACATACCGGTATTGGGAAGTGGAGTCTTTGGAGAGTAATTAGGGTTAGCTGAAGCTGGGAGGGTGGAACCTCTATGATGGAATTAGTGCTCTTAAAAGGTGAGGGGACCATAGCTCTCTTTCTCTGTCATGTGAAGAGTCATCTAGAAAGTGGATGTCTGCAAGCGAAAGAGGGTCCTCACCAGACACCAGATTTGCCCAGACCTTGATCTTGGATTCCCTGGCCTCCAAAATTGTGAGAAAAAATTGTTGTTATTGAAGCCATCCCACCTAAGGTATTTTTGTCATAGCAGCTTGACCTGACTAAGACACACAGGAAATGTCCAACAAATGTATGCAAATGAAGGAATGAATGAATAAATATCTTTTCCCAATTGATTGTCTTCTTGTATTTTTCCAATCATTAAACTGCCACCCTGCATTTCCAGTACCATGAACTCATATTCCTGATGGTGACACTGAAATTCAAAGAGATACAGCATGAAGGTCTGGAAAGAAAGGGTGTCTGCACCAGGAAATGTAAAATTATCACCTGTAAAGACAGCAGACAGGTAACTGGGGCTACTTACTACTCCTTTTCCATCCCTTCTACTTTGGCCTAAACTATGTCAACATTTAGCCAACATCTACTTCACTCCAACTTCAGGGAGTCACTTTCATGCTGTCTACTCATAGGTGTGGTTTGCTTTTGGGAAAGCAGGAAAACATTGCTTGAGGACCTACTATGTGCCAGATACTTTTATACTTACTTATGCAACCCTTGCAACCATGCTTCCAGGCTGGTACCATTAACCTCCCTCTTCTCATGTCACAGATGCAGAATGGAGGCTCAGAGGAGACTGTCCTCTGATTCCAAAGCCAAACTTCTTTTCCTGAACTCTGTAAACCTAATTCCAGTGCTCAGCTCAATCAAACTCCCTAGATTGGCCTGGCCACGGGTTCTTTGATGTTTCACAATTTGGCTTCTTGATAGAAACCGTAAATGGTATAAAAGGGGGCACCTGGACTTTGTATTGTAATGATGCCTTCCTTGGAGCTTTCCTCTGCCCACTTTTTAATTTTTTTTCCATTGTATGTACCAAGAGTCACCAAAAATTTCTCCCTGAGAAACAGGAACCAAGTGTAATAAGCAGAAAGAGGGAGGATAGAAAGGATGTCAGGGCCACCTCTAGGAGGAGATATCTCCATTCTGGAGGCTTTGACGTTGTACACACTTGGTGGTTCCATGAGTCAGAATTTGCCTCTTCTGCCCTTAGACACCAAGGATAGCTTTGAGCACCCCTAGTGGTGGTCTGCACCAGGAGTGTGCAGCGGACGCCGACCAACTAGGAGAGCCAGTGCCTTGAGTCAGTTCGAACATCTGGCAGGAATGGAAGAGCCAGCAAGAGCCAGAAACAAGCCACTCTCCCCAAGAAACATCCTTTTGCCTTGGACGTGGAAGGAAGTGAATGTAACATGATTATTCTAGTGTCAAAGTGCACCGTGTGAACACAAGAAAAATCCCTTAAGCTTGGATAAGGTGGTCCCTGGCAGGGGCTGCCGAAACCCTATGAAAAAAGAACACTATAAGGAAAAGAGTCTGTAAGTGGATCTAACAACAATGCACATTAGAGACTGGGGGGAGAAGTGAATTGGAGCCTTATTGAGCGATATTGAATTTGCTTTATTAACTTAAGAGAAAAAGAAAAGAAATTACACTCAGGCTCTGCAATCTTAGCACGTAGTTACAATTATTCTCCATGTGCATATCTTAGACAATAAGAAGCCTCTTCAAAAACAAGTTATACTTTATACTTATTCATGCCTTACAGAAAAATGGCCCAGAGAATCACATGCTCTGCATGAGAATGTAGCAACAAGTCCCTTTCAAGTATTTACAAATCCCCTCACTCTGGCAGGAACAGAAGGGCTAGTTTACCACACTGAATTAGGTGAATGTTTCTCCACCTGACACTAGTGGATGTTGGGCTCCACCTTAAAAATAGAATTTATTACGGAAGGTTAATTATTTCCAAATGCACCTTCAGAATTAGTGATGTTCATTGGCTACCCTTGCTCCCTCCTTATGACTTGGAGTCTGAGAGGCAGAACCACACTGTTATTAATGAACCTTCTGAGGCACTAACTACATCAGGTGACTTTAATTTGGTGGTGATCGGAAGTTAATTAAAAATATATGCTGGCTAACCATAGTGTTGAACAGTTGGAAAAACAATATGAAATTCTTAAAATTGAAAATACACACACCATCCTCCTACACACACACACACACACACACACACACACACACACACAGAAAGAGAGAGAGAGAGAGAGAGAGAGAGAGAGAGAGAAAGAGAGAGAATATGGAATCCTTGTCTTGGATGACAATTCAGTATGTGCCATTAAGGCATTTTTTTCTGGAGGATTGTGTATTGGAGAGTATAGATTGTAGAGGTAGAATCACTTTAGAAAAGCCAGCCAGCCTCTGGGTAGCTTTGGTGTGTGTGTGTGTGTGTGTGTGTGTGTGTGTGTGTGTGTGTGTGTGTTATAGTCATAACACAGATTCAAAAAGGGGGTGGGGAAGGGAGATCTGAACTCAGTTCAAGGCCACCAAGCCATTGTTGGAAAGAGACAGCTAATTAAGAAAGGGCATGCTGTGGTGGAAACGATTTATTTAAACCACATCTATTCCCCCATCTTTCCTAGGGAAATTGTCTGGACCTGGTGTAAATTGTGAATATCTCTGCCTCATAAAAGGTGGCTTCTAAATGATATGCTTTGTTAAACAAAAGGTGACGAATTATTTCCTTTTCCCTGCACCCTGGGCTTCACGTTTAAAGAGCAGGGGCTGGGGGATAAAATGCCTGATTTATGCGGAGGAGGGCACTCCAGGCCTTGGGGAAGCAGAGTTGGAGGGAAAGGGACCTGAGCTGGGCCCACGGCGGGAGAGCTGTCCGGGGCCTTTGGTGCTGAACTCAGGTCCGTGCCCCAGGGGTCCAGAACTCTCCACGGAGAAACGACACCGCCTTCTGGCCCCAGCTCTAAGTCTACAGGGACCACAAGAAACGGGGCTCCAGCTGGGCCAGGCGCGTGCCCTCCGACTGTCTTCAGCCTGGGCAGGCACTGCAGTTGCCTTTTTTTTCTATGTGAGGAGAGAGTTTCTGGGAACCAGAGTTAGACCTGAGAAAGCGATGCCCAGTGATGCAACAATGCCACCCCCCCACACACACACAACTCAGTCTCCTTGGTGGCCTCACCAAATTCTCGCAGCTCTTGCCATTAGCCTTGGATGACTTAGGTGTTCCATTCCTCCCTCCAACCCAACCTGGTGGCTCAGAGAGAAGGCGCGGCTCCGGGTCCGCCAAGGAGGAGCTGCCGGCCTCCATCAAAGTTGAATCCTTCCCACCCAGCAAGCACGTGGTGAGTGAAACCAGCGCCCCCTCGCACTCCTGACAGCGATCAGAGACGCTAGGCTGGGGCGGGGGCAGAGTAGGGGGAGTCCACTCAGGTTCCCGACCATCACCTAACATCTTCTCTCTACCTTGCCGAGTTCAGGACCCTGAGTCTCCTCCAGCAGCCTTAGTGGAAAGCCACACCCAAGTCCTGAGGCTTGGTGGGGATCCACCCGGGGTGCCAGCTGCAGGAAGCAAGGGGTCCTGGGGTGGGAGGGAGCGGAACTATGCCCCCCCCCACACCCCAGCACTAAGTCCAGTCCTCGGTGTTGGACAGCTCCCTTCTTTCTGTCCTCGCCCCAGACAGCAAGATCTGGCACCCAGCCCCGGGCGCGGTTGCAGAGCTCCGCGAATCTGGGCTTTGGAGGCGACCCCACTCCAAGGAGCTCCTCTGTGCCTGCAAAAGGGAGCCAGCCCCACAGCTGGGGAAGACGGAAAGGGAGCCCGCACCCGAACCAGGGGAGCGCCCCAGTCCTCCAGACTCAGCCCCGCCTCCACACTCCATCGGCCCGGGCCGAGGGGACACGGTTCCCAGCCCCGAATCCGGGCAGCCGCCTCCGCTACCCTGGAGGCAGGGCGCTGCGAAACGCCGGGGTCCTCCACGACCCCTGGCCGCCCCGAGCTCGCGACAACTTTGCCCTCCCGGCCCAGCCCCCCTCGGCCGCTTACCTCCCGCCAGGGCTGCCGCCGGGCTCCCCAGGAGCAGCGCGAGGAGCAGCGAGACGCCGCCGAGTCCCGCGGCGGGCGGCCGGGCCGCGGGCATGGTGGCTGCGGGGCGCGCGGACGGCGCGGGAGCCGGGAAGGCGGAGGGCGGCGGCGG